GGTGTTGCGTTTTTAAAGTCCCTCAGTACATATAGGAAAAATCTTTTAATAAACACTGGGTCAGAGAAAGCTGAAGCTTTTGTGGAAGCATCCTGGTATATTGTAGATTCCAAATTGTTAAAATATTAACCCCTGGAGTAGGGTGGGGTCACAATAGATATTACAAGGGGGGTCTGGTAAAGAACTGCATGGCTAAAGATACTCAGTTGAGCGATGTTACCTATGGGCCTCTTGTTTTAATTCAAAACAAAAATTAAAATTGCTAATCACATTTAATAAATGAAGATGCAAAGGAAACTGATATTACTTAAGAAAATTAAAAAAGTGTTGAATATATTGTATTGAAATGTAGCAAAAAATTTTAATAAATAATTAAATGAACGATTGATGCATTAAATACAGTTATTAACGCCATATTGACACGCAGTAATTGGGCCATATATCGAGGGGGAAAAATTGTAGTAAAATTGGTTCTAAAACTATACATTCTGAATGTGTCCCAGTTTTTGCTTTGTTCCTTCATTTTAATAGAACAAACACTAATTGCTTCATTGTTTTTTCCCAATCGGAAAATAAAATTGAACCCCAAAACATGTGTAATCAATAACATTTTTTTTTCTCTGTGGATCTTTTTCTCATTAATTATTGATAATGTTATTTGATTTCCTTTCTAAAATATTAATTGCAGCTCTCCACCGGCAAATGATGGCGTTTCAATATATTTATGAATAATTCTCGAGAGGGACATTAAAAAATGAACAGATCAATTAATCTTCTCAAAATACTGGAGATAATAAAAGGAGAACCCTATTTTTATGTATCAGATGATATGTAGTGCATAGTTAGCTACCAAAATTGGAAAAAATATGCCGACCCCCATATTTGAATAGAAAAAATGGAAAGGGGAGGGGGTCCAGCGCCTTAGTGCCTGTGGAAAACGTCATATATTTCTGATTACCTAAGCAGATGCAAACATCACCTATCAAACTCAAAAAATAACAAGAAAAGAAATCATGCATATTAGTAAATTGCAGTGAAGCATAATAGTGCAAACCTAAAGTAAATAAAAAAACTATTAAATAAAGAAAAATCGAAATTATTAAATAAAGAAAAACTAATTCATGAAAAACAATCTGTATCATTAAAATAAAGAAAAAAGAAATTATTGAATAAAGAAAAACGAAATTATTGAATAAGGAAAAACGTTTTCTCAGCAACTACTCATCGCGGATGCTTGAAGTTTTAACACAATCTTCTCTGAGGCATGAACACAAATCTTCTCTGAGGCATGCCATATGTTGGGATTCATTTTTGTTAAATTCTGATGTCATCTTCCTGCTCGTCCGTGCGTCTGTCCGTTTCATACATGTTTCATGCATGACAAATTTCGTCGCAGTTTTCTCAGCAACTACTCATCGCAGATGCTCGAAATTTTAACACAATCTTCTCTGAGGCATGAACACAATCTTCTCTGAGGCATGCCATATGGTGGGATTCATTTTTGTTTAATTCTGATGTCAATTTCCTGCTTGTCCGTGCGTCTGTCCGTTTTATACATGTTTCATGCATGACAAATTTCGTCGCATTTTTCTCAGCAACTACTCATTGCAGATGCTTGAAATTTCAACACAATCTTCTTTTAGGCATACCATATGGTAGGACTTAATCTTGCTCAATTCTAATGTTAACTTACTGTTTGTCCGTGCGTCTGTATTTCATACATGTTTCATACATAACAAATCAAATTTTTGTCACAGTTTTCTCACTTACTACTCATCGCAAATGCCTGACATTTTAGCGCACTCTTTCCTGATTAATTTTTAGCTCTACTGGTCAGAGACCAGAATTACTCTGAAATACTTTCAAAATGCTACTCCTCCTACAGTTTTGATCTGATTTCAATATAACTTGGCACACAAGTAGACTACACTAAGATACATAATTCTGTTTATCGGTTTTTGATTTCAATGAACGGTGTTGCCGTGGTTAATAAAAATAGAAATTTCTGTGAAATTCTTTCAAAATGCTACTTCTCCTACAGTTTTGGTCCGATTTTAATATTACTTGGCACACAAGTAGACTACACGAAGATACATAATTCTATTTCTATATATCGGTTTTTGATTTCAATGAACGGTGTTGCCGTGGTTACTAAAAATAGAAATTTCTGAGAAATTCTTTCAAAATGCTACTTCTCCTACACTTTTGGTCTGATTTCAATATAACTTGGCACACAAGTAGACTACACGAAGATACATAATTCTATTTCTATATATCGGTTTTTGATTTCGATGGATGGTGTTGCCGTGGTTACTAAAAATAGAAATTTCTGAGAAATTCTTTCAAAATGCTATTCCTCCTACACTTTTGGTCTGATTTCAATCTAACTTGGCACACAAGTAGACTACACTTAGATACATAGATCAGTATATCGGTTTTTGTATTTGGAGTTGCATTTTGAAAGAATTTCACACCATTCATCGAAATTCTTTCAAAATGCAACTCCAAATACAGTTTTAGTCTGATTGTAATACATGTATAATGTGGCATGCAAGTAGACACACTATATATATATATATAAGGTACATAATTCTGTGTATCGGTTTTTGATTTCGATGAACGGTGTTGCCGTGGTTGCTAAAAGTAGAAATTTCTGTTAAATACTTTCAAAATGCTACTCCAAATACAGTTTTAGTCTGATTATAATATAATGTGGCATGCAAGTAGACTACACTAAGAACATAAAGAGACTTAATCAAGGATCATTATTCTATTTATTGCTTTTGTAAAGTTTCAATTCCCAACTGCTTTAGTACTTTTCTCAAAAAGTTTCTATTTCTATTTATTGCTTTTGTAAAGTTTCAATTCCCAACTGCTTTAGTACTTTTCTCTTCCTTTGCTATAAGAACAAACCAGTAGAGCCTCAGTCTCGACAGAGACTTCTGGTTGTTAAAATCTTATGTCAACTTCCTGTTTGTCTGTGCATCTGTCCGTTTCATACATTAACAAAATTTTGTCACAGTTTTCTCAGCAACTTCTCATAATAGGTGCTTGAATTTTAGTATATACTTTGTTGAGGCATACAGTATGGTGTGATTTATTTTAATATGTATCTGATGTCAAATTTCTATATATTTCTATATATTCTGGTATATACCCGTAACGTTTTAATAAAAGATTAATAATATATTTTCACATCAGAGCGGATAAAATTCTTAAATCCTTAAGGGATATTAAAAAAATAAGTTAATTTACGTTTCGTTTTATTATGTTAATATTCTAACACAACCAAACACAAGAAAACATTGATGTAACCATCAATTGTTGCCCGGGAAATAAATACAGTAAACAAAAGAAATGAGTCTTGATCATCAAACCGCTTCGATATGTGTGAAAAAGGCATGCGTCTAATTGATGAAGACGATAGTCGAGAATATTTTGAAAACTTATAGTCGGATGAAAGTCGAACAAAAATACCCTTATAAACTTTATCAATTCCTTAAGTAACTTTATTAGTACTCAATTAACTTTGGTAATTGTTTTATAAAATGGATGAAATGCCTTCATAAAAATCTTACTTTCCGATTAAAAAATAAGGGTTGGATATCCAAAACATGTGAAATGAATAGAGGGATTTGACAAGGATGCCCAATATCTGCAATATTATACCTTTTTGTAGCTGAAATATTGTCAGAAAGATTGAAAAACAATATAAACATTGAAGGTTTTAAATACCAAAATTCAGATAAAAAAATCAAGAATATACAACATGCAGATGATATGACGCTGGCACTTAAAAATATTCAATCACTATCCAAAGCAATAAGTACAATAGATCTTTTTTGGTAAACATGCGGGATTATTTTCAAAAATAAATTTAGATAACACAGAATGTATGCTTTTAGGCTCCTTAAAAGAACAATATAAAAGGTATAAACGTAACAAACCACGAGGTGAAATGTTTAGGAATATATCCAGGACATGATAAAATAGAATGCTACAACAAAAATTGGATGAAAATATATCATGAAATGGAAACTTTATTTGAGTCGTGGGGAAAAAAAAGAAGAAAATTAACACTTTTTGGCAAATGGGCTGTAATAAATAGCTATTCATAAATTGGTTTATAAGTCCACAATACTAGAACTACCAGACAAAGACTATTTTAATAAATAAAACAAATTATCTAAAAACGAACGAATAAAAGAAATACTGTGACAGGGGAAATAATTGAGGGTGGTATAGGTTTGACTGATATAGAATCAAAACTAAGGGCGTTGAAAGCAGCTAGCCTGGGTTCCTAGACTGCTCCTAACTAAACATGTAATAAAAGATTTTGTAAACAGCTTTTGTAAAGCTCTGGATATTGATTTACAGTATATTTTAATTACATCAGAAACAGTTATAAAAAGATCTGATATTGTTCAACACATGCCGTTTTTTTTTTTTTTTTTTGATAAAGAAATCTTCTTATGCTATAACTTTTGCAAAGAAGCCATAAAACTAGATACAACAGACAGATTTTTGACACAACCTATTTGGTCCAATAAGTTTTTTTACTTACAAGGGAAAATCATTCTGTTTTTAAAACTGGGTAAAAAGTGGAATTTTATATACAAAACAATTATTCAATGAAAATAGAAAATTAAAATCTCTTAGCGACTTTGCGCGTCTCATTAAAACAAAAGTAACTGGCTCTGTGAGTATACGACAATTAAGACAGTATTTATAAAATACGAACAAATATTTGATTATTCAAAGATAGATTTTATCAAAATCGAAAATCCTATGTATAGAGCAGCCCGGTCCTCCGGGCTGTTTCTGCCCTCGATGATAAAATATAAAATGTACCATTTAAACAGATCCATCTTGAATGGCGGTGTTTGAGTATCGATAATCAACTACACCCAAGGGAAATTTACATATATATATAAAACTTCTTGTGTCTGATTTTATGATGCATTTTCTTTCGAAAAGATTTAATTAAAAATAAAAGCGCGATGGCTTCCGCTTTCTCCTACAACATTATAAAATCAACATTATTTGTATTTTTATCATACATTGATCCTATGTCCATGCTCACACTAACATCACGTCTTTTCTTCAAAACTACAATGGAGATTGACAACAAAATCAGCAATGTTGGGTTTCTAAGCCATATGACTGCTGATTCTCTGTTAGTGTGCGCGATGAGGTGTTACGACAACTGCAAGTGCGTTGGATACAACAAGGAAAAGAACCAGTGTCGTCTGCATTCCCAGATCCATTGCTTTGACAATTTCACTGCAGACATTACTGAAGAAAGATGGGAATATTTTTGTGAAAGAGGTAAGAAGCATATCAAATGAGTAATTCAATGAAAGTCAATATAGAAAAAAAATGTTTGATCAGTAAAGACAGGTGGGAACCATATGATGTTTTTCTTCAGCGGTGTGGGGTTTTTTTTTATTTTAGAAGATGCAAATTTTTACAAACCTTTCAACACTTCTGCTCATCTTATCTGAATTTATTTAAGTACAATGTATATATTTTCAATCTTACATTTATATAAAAGTTTTCCATATCATTACACTGCCACCACCAACTTTTTTAACGTCCTGGAGGGAGTTATCTGTCTAACATTCATAACAAAGCATTAGCACTCTTAAACTTATAAGAGGCTTTCTGATAAACATTCTGGACTAGTAGCTAAACCAAAATGTTCAGTGGTGATGCTGTGGTCATACTCTTTTGATCTGAGATCTTTGAAGTCGATATTAGGGGTGTTATGGGGTCGAAACAATGGCATGAATAATCTTCTTGCAATAATACGTCGTCAACTGAAAATGGTCTTGTTAGATGATCTGTGCAGTTCAGGGATAGCTAATGCTTTAGATGACGTCATTGTGTTACATTCATCAGGGACGTAGCAACGGGGGGGCGGGGGGGGGGGCTGGCCACCCACCCACCCCCCATTTTTACCCAACATTACCTTTAGTAAATGTTCATTGAAAGGATGTTTGCCCCCCCCCCCCCCCCACTTTTTACCATAGTATAGGGATATTAGGGATTGTAGGGGAAAAATTGGAAGTGATAGTAAGTAGGCTTTGAAGAAGTTGGCCACTATCCCCACCCCCCCCCCCCCTCCACGAAATAGGATTTTCGAGTTTGGACAACTTTTTTTGTCTTTCTTCCTTTTTTTTTTTTTTTTTGCTTGTCAACTTTTTCAGGTAAGGCCATTCCAAGTTTTTTCTCTGTTTAGCGTCCACCCATCTTTCAAAAACTAGCTAGCTATTCACAAAAAAAAAACACACACACACACGTAAAAAAAATAAAACATAATTATATTTTATATTAATAAGAATGAATTTATTCAAAAATGTGATTTCATTTATCTATTTTCAAAAGGAAAGTTATCTGCTTCAGCAAATCAAGGTATTAAATACTGATACTATTCCAATAATGAAATATTATACAAATATTTAGAGATATTGCCGGAAATAATAAATTTTGACCTGAATAATTAATTTTCGGACTCCTGATTCTGTTTGTTTTTTCTGACATGGGGTGTCAAAAACCAAGGCGCTAGCGGACGCTAAACATAGAAAAAACTTGGAATGGCCTAAGTAAAAAAAATTTTCTCTGGTTGGCCGCCCACTTTCAAAAACGATGCTACGTGCCTGTTCATGCTATTAACGTAAATCTCTGAAGTGATGTGCTGCTGATGTCACACGCAGTCTACCGTATTTTTTGCGAACATTAGGTTTTCGTTGTCAATGGTTTACGTTTTATAGGTAAGATATGGCGCTGTGCTTAACATTAAAATCTCTTGCAATTGTAGATTGTGGTACCCCTGCTTTCAGTCGTCAATTTTCCTTTTCCTGTGCAACATTCAGATGCAGCATTTTTAGAAAGCGTCAATTTTTAGATAAAATCGAGAACCCCCGCTTTTGATAACCCCTTTGTACCTGAAGGAATTGCATCAGAAACCAACAATTGAAAATTGAGATAAAAATTTTATGGGGGGATTTTGTAAAATCAGGCCTTTTTGTCTGTGAGACTTGCAGAATACCTGAAAAGTTTATAATTGCATTTAAAAATTCTCGCATTTCACTCAAGCGCAACATATCTATCTAAAAAAGAGTATGACATTTTTCAGGGCATTGTTCCTACTACGTGTATGTGTTTCTTTTTTTTTGATGAGTTTAATATTATTGATATTTTACCTTGCTTATTATCAGTCTTCATTGCTTCATTGTACCTTATATAGAAGGGAAATATCATTTTTTGGATTATTAGCGATATGTTTATCTATATAATATTTTTTATTTCACTCAATCACTAGGTTGTTGTGCTGGAACATCAACTATCCACTTCTTGGATGCGTACGTTCCATCAGATACAAATTTGTATATCGCGAATACAACCGAAAGTCGTGTCGGGGAAACCACAAATTATACTTGTCCACCTAAGACAGTAAGTGTGGGTCGGAATCAAATAACATGTTTGGAAACCGGAAAATGGTCAACCGCAATGTGTGAAGGTATATATTTTATTTTATCGTTTGTAAATCAATTTTGCATGAAATAAAAAATAGAAATTAGAACACTTTTTGATTTTTAGAGTGCACAGAGGCCGATGACCCAAAACAAATCAATTATAGAGGTAAAAAGAACGTGACTACAACTAAGAAAACTTGCCAGCGCTGGGACGCCAGAACTCCCCATATTCCTAATAATTATAACTTTCCTGGTAATGATGTGAGTATAAGTTAAAAAAATAGTATCTTTTTTCTTTTAAAATGTCCTGGTGCCAGTTTCACAAAGCTGTCTTATGACTAAGATCTGTCTTAAGACCGAATATTTGTCATCTCCCTCGGGAGATGACACATTAAGATCGTATGCCGGAAGTGAAGTCCTAGTGTAAGCCTCCATTAATCTTTCGGGAGTCCTCGATGTTTTACAGAGTTCCAAGTAGCCTGTAAACTGGTTTTCTTTTAGAAGAACTAGCTTAGGAGTGTGTGATCTACTTTCGGTTTAGGCCTATTTGAAAGCCAAGGAAAATTTGGAAAAGAAGTACGATGCTTATAAATATCTATAGTTTCGGTGTGTGGTATATATATTGATCCTCAATACTATGCCTTATTAAATTGGTAAGCCACACAAGGAGAATTGACAATGACGTGATTTCGAAGGGAAAACTGGTTCTCGCACAATAGAACAAGCTTACAATTAGATTCTGCAAAAAATGAACGAAGAGTGGTCAACTCTAATTTTATGTTAATTTTTTAGTCTGTAATTGGATTTATTAAATTAATTCCTGTCAAACTTTAATGATTAGCTGCTTTTAAATGAATGATAAGTATTGTTGATAATTCCGGCCCCGTGGGGATCCGGGTTAGAATAGGTCTTCAGTACCCCCTTGCTTGTCGTAAAAGGCGACTAAATGGGGCGGTCCTTCGGATGAGACCGTATAAACCGAGGCTCCGTGTCACAGCAGGTGTGGCACGATAAAGATCCCTCCCTACTCAGTGGCCCTGAGTGCCGAGCATAGGCCCAAATTTGCAGCCCTTCACCGGCAATGGTGACGTCTCCATATCAGTGAAATATTCTGGAGAGGGACGTTAAACAGTATACAATCAATCAATCCGTATTGTGTTAAGAAAATATAGTTCAAGGTAAGTAAATTGTAAACACCCAGAAGCACAAATACCGCTAGAATGAAATTTCACCAAAAATCGCCTTGGGTGCTCTCGCAGACGTCCATGCTTTCCATATATATACTGCGGCCAAAAGAAACTGCGTACTTTACTGTGGATTTTGCTGAGTGAGTCATTTGGGAACTTCAGGTGTAATAATCCATATATTCATTGCATTAAAATATCCCCCTTTCTGTTTTATTTCTTTGACATTATTGATACCAAAGAGATGACATTTCAGGCTTTCTGGAAAGCCAAACTTGTAACTTTCTTAAGATTGCACCATAGTTGTTTCACAAAACTGTCATATCTTATGATAATCTTAAGATTTATCAAAATCTTAAAACAACTAGATACATGCTTTTTAAAGTCTAAAGTGAAACTGGCGACAATATAAAAAATATATTTTGGCTTAAAATTGAAGGATATTTAAAGAAAAACGGTTTTTAGAGATAATACAATCCTTCGGACTATTTCAGGCAAGACGGACCAATGCCCCCCCCCCCCCCCCCCCCCCCCCCTCGCGCAAAAAATTATTTGCAAATAAACAATTGATAGAAAATGATAAAATGTAGTACCTACTTTATGTTTTTCCACTTTATTCATTTAAATGCATATTTTCTTTGCTTGTGTCCGCTCCCAACTGAAACTGCACCCCACAATGCTTCTTAATGATCTTTAATCTCTTGAAGAGTGGTATAAAAAATGGTTGTTAAAATTTAATCCCTCTAAAACTAAGGTTGTATTTTTTAACACAAGAAAAAACAAAGAATTTACAAAACTCCTTTTCCAGGATAGCCAATTAGAATATGTTCAAACTCATAAGCATCTAGGGGTAACTTTTTCATACAACTTCAGTTGGTCATCTCATATTGAAATCTTGCTGTCTAATGCATACAAGAAATTAGGTCTTTTGAAAAAACTTAAGTTTAAAATAAATCGAAAAAGCCTTTCACTTATGTATACTTCATTTATCCGTCCCCAACTTGAGTATGCTTCAGTTGCATGGGGTGGTTGTCTATCCATCGATTCTGAAAAATTAAGAGAAATTGCAACTACACGCAGCTCGGATTGTTACTGGACTAATGAAAGAAAAAGTGAGCTAGCTCACATACCCCACGCTCCCCCAAAACTTGACGGTGATACACATAATGAAAGGCACAGCTAGTGCACTTTAAATACATAGTATAGATCAAAAAGGGCAATAATTGCAAAAAATTTTCACATCAAAATGTCTTGCATATGAGGACATTTAAATGTGGAATGAAGTTTCTAGATAAATAATGGAATCAAAATTTCTTGGCATTATACAAATCCAAACATTAATTTGAAGTGGTTGGGGGGGGGGGGGGGAGAAATTTTCTTGAATAATAGGCAAAACTCTTTGGGATAAAATAATGGAATATGTCCTAAATATCTGCATAGGTTGAAGAAACTATGTACAACAGTTTAAGAGAGGAGTGGTGCTGACGAACTGTTCATCTGTATATTCAAAATATGGCCAAAAAGTCTAAGTTGGAAAGTGTGGAAATTCCCGGAAAAATAAAGGAATCGGAATTTCCTGGTAATATGCACATCTACATATTGTGTCCTAAATATCTGCGAAGTTTAACGAAATTCTGTGCAGTGGTTTATGAGGAGTTGCGCTGACAAACTGTTCATCTCTATATAAAAGGTATGGCCAAAAACCTAAGTTTTTAGTGCGGGAAGTCCCGGAAAAAATAAAGGAATCGGAATTTCCTGGTAATATGCACATCTACATATTGTGTCCTAAATATCTGCAAAGTTTGACGAAATTTTGTGCAGTGGTTTATGAGGAGTTGCGCTGACAAACTGTTTATCTCTATATAAAAGGTATGGCCAAAAACCTAAGTATTTAGTGCGGAAAGTCCCAGAAAAAATAATGGAATCGGAATTTCCTGGTAAAATGCATATCTACACATTGTGTCCTAAATAACTGCAAAGTTTGACGAAATTCTGTGCAGCAGTTTATGAGGAGTTGCGCTGACAATCTGTTCACCTCTATATTCAAGGTATGGCCAAATGCCTAAGTTAAAAAGTGCGGAAATTCCCAGAAAAAATAATGGAATCGGAATTTCCTGGTAATATGCACATCTACACATCGTGTCCTAAATAACTGCAAAGTTTGACGAAATTCTGTGCAGCGGTTTATGAGGAGTTGCGCTGACAAACTGTTCATCTCTATATTCAAGGTAATGCCAAATGCCTAAGTTAAAAAGTGCGGAAATTCCTGGAACAAATAAAGGAATCGGAATTTCCTGGTAATATGCATATCTACACATTATGTCCTAAATACCTGCAAAGTTTGATGAAATTCTGTGCAGCGGTTTATGAGGAGTTGCGCTGACAAAAAAAGAGGACTGACTGACGGACTGACTGACTGACGGACGGGTCAAAAACATTATACCTCCCGCAACTAGTTGCGTGGGGTATAACTATGATTGCCTCTAGAGACTCATTGTATTTTGAAACAGGCTGGGAACCACTCAGCGACAGACGCAAGATCCAAAGATTAAATACCATGTACAAAATTCACAATGATTTAGTACCAGAGTACCTATCTGAGATTATACCTGATATGCGATGTAATGCTTCTGCATATACAACAAGAAACTCACAAAATTATAGTATACCTGTATGTAAATTGCAAACTTACAAATCATCATTTGTACCAACTGTAATAAATGAGTGGAATTCCTTACCGCTAAATACCAGACTTTCGAGCTCTTTGTCTGTTTTCAAAAGTAAAATTAAACAAAAAATAACTGAAGCTCCGCCATATCTTAATTTTGGTAAAAGACGCAACAATATACTGCATACACGGCTTCGGCACAATTGCGTGCTAAACGCTGATCTTTATAGATGTAATATGATATCTAGTCCACTATGTTCAAGGTAGAAAATACACATCATTATTTTTTCTCGTGCCCTAACTACAACGAGGCCAGGAAAGAGTTTTTCGATAAGTTCTTGAGATTTATTAAAGTCCATATTGTTGACATTCAGACTTTACTCTGGGGGGATACATTACTCAGTATTGCTGAAAATGAATATCTGTTTTCTATTGTACATTCTTATATTCAGCATTCTGGTAGATTTAACTGATTGTACTCATTTTTTAAAACTATTTGTATAAACAACTAGGGCTAATTGTAACGGGAACCGTTACAGATGTTCCCCAAACGCTCCCCAACTCCCTTTTGGTGCCATATTCCATGTAAGCCTCATTACATAAGACAAACTCTTCGTACTTTAGTCTTTAACAACGTTTTTCCAGAAGTATTATAAGTATATTTCAATTTTAGCATTGCACGCGTGCGCATGTGAATGCATGTGCGTAATGACCATATCATCTTGTCTACACTTTCAATGTATTAAAATATACACAATATTTAAGCATTTATTCCAAAAATATTTTTAAAAAAACGCTCATTTGAGTGTATTTTAATTTTTCTCATTTCACGTGCACGCACGTGCATGCATGTGCATAATGACCATACTATCGTGTAGGAATCTATTATGTCGATCTATGTTCTAAATCCCATTCTGTTTGGTTGAAAATCAAGGAAGTTATAACCATTTAAAGTTTAAGCCAATCAGATTGCAGCGCACGTGCAAGCACGTGATTTGATGAAAAATATTATGTATCATATTGTAGGATATCTTAATGCATGACTTTGTTTAAAATATCAAAGCATTTCGTCTAAAAACAAAAAAGATATTAAGATTTCTGTTTCAACCAATCAGAGCAAAGTACTCGTGCAAACACGTGCTTGCATGTGCATACTGACCATGCCCTCTTGTAGGAGTCTATTATGTCTGTCTATGTTCTAAATCCCAGTCTGTTTGGTTGAAAAACAAGGGAGTTATAGCCATTTAAAGTTTTAGCCAATCAGATTGCAGCGCACGTGCATGCGCGTGTTTTCATGAGAATTGCGATATATCATATTGTAGGACATCCTAAAGTATGCCCATGTCTTAAATTTCACAGCATTTCGTCGAAAAACAGAAAAGATATTGAGATATTCGTTTCAGCCAATCAGAGCGAAGCGCACGTGAATGCGCGTGAGTACGTGCTAATTTGACAGTGTCAAATTATCTACACTATTAATATATCATTATATAATGAGTTTCAAATCAATTCATTGAAAAATGTAAAAGTTATAGCTATATTAAGTATATAAGTCATTTCACTAATATCACGCGCACGCACGTGCACGCGTATGCGCGCAAAATGACCTTCGTTCAGCACACCTACACTACACACCTATTAACCCTAAAAAGGTTTTAGCTCAGTTGGGTGAACAGTTTCTGAGAACACTCGCGGACAAAAAAGTACCGGAGAAGAAATAAGAAGAAAAAAGAATAATAATAATAAGAAACAGAGTAAAAACAATATGTTCCCAAACTCCGTTTGGGGAACATAATAATGTAGCAGTCTATATATACCGGTATGTCCACAATGAGAGTTAATTTAATTTACTTGTAATTTATTTTGTACAAACTGTTGAACATTTCTAATTCATCCTGTTAAAATATCTCATGTAGGGAGAGGGCGATTTAAGTTTTTAGAACTTGTGCCCAATCCCATTGTATATACGTATTTAGTGCAATAAAATATGTTCAAACTCAAACTCAATGCTTCTTAAGAACATGTACATGTAATGTGTAATGTGTATGAAAATCATGCTGTAACATTAGATGCTGTATGCGCATGCTATTTTTTCATTCTTTCTTAAAGGTATTGATATTATAAGATTTTGATTGGAAATTTTTTTTCGTTTCCATTTCTTCATCTGTTAGCATTGTTATTTTATTGCAGCAGTTGAAGCATTTTAAAGACACCTTCATCGAATTTTATGAGTAAACTTTGAACACGATTATTTTGTGTTTCAAAAGGATTCATTGCTATAGTCATTTATCAATTTGTAAAGGTTAAGATACTATACATTGTAGTAGCTTTAATTTAAAAAAAACATTTTCGTAAAACAAGCAATTTGTCAGTAAATACTATTTTCTGAGCAAGAAGACATTTAAAAAAAATTATTCAGTTTTTTTATAGTGATGAAATTAATTCAAAGAACGTGGGCGCTTTTGATGGGCATTCGGCAGGAATCTGGGCGTACTTGAAAAGTGAAAATTTTATCGACATGTCACATGAAATTTTAACATTTTTTTATTTATCGGGTTCCTGTGCAACAGGAAAGGAAAATATTTTCCTGAAATTGAGCTCTGATTAGCTAAAAAATAACTTGAAAATTGGCCAGATCAGACATTTGGTACAAAAAGGTACATTTTTAAACCCGACCCCAAACACACACAAACACGCCCTAATTAGATTAAATGTTTTTTTTTAATTTCCGAGGGTATATCTGCAAAATTAAGGAAAGGCATGCAACTAAACTTCGTGCAAACATATTTTTATCAAAAATCCCTGTGAAATTGAAGAACGAATCGAAATTCGTCTTAAATTTTTTTATAATTAAGATAGTTTGGTGTAACAGTAGTGACAAATCTTATGATTGTCATAAGTCAAATCTTAAGATGATGGTAAGATCTTTCTTAGGATAAATCTTACGATGGTTTTGTGAAACCCAGTTCTAATCTATAAATTGAAAGTGAATTTTTGCACCTTGCGCATGTAAGAGATGTGACTACAAAATGCAAATGTTAAAGGCACTTAAAATAAGTTCTTACCTACACTTGTGTTAGATTTTGATACAAAAAATATATAAAAGAAGTAAGGTGTCTTGATTATTGACGCTGCAAAATTATCATTATATTGAATATAATAGCAATTTTTAAGACATCTATAATGCACAGGATGACAATAATGTCATTTTGCTTAAATTAAAGCTTATAAAAAGTTCTTCCATCGCAAATATGAACAACTGCAGTTTATAAATGTTAAATGTTCTATTTTTCTCTTCAGTGAATTGAAAATAGTTAATTACAAATTTGCAACAAAATTTTGCCATGTCAATCTTGCAGCTCATATTTATAATTTTAATAAGTTTTCCTTCTTCGTGTGTAAATTCTTATACCATTCTTTCTCCTTAAAGTAATTAACTAAGTTGTACCAAGAAATCGGTGGAACGGACCCCCCCCCCCCCCTTTTGAGGAAGATTGAAAAGTTAGTCTTACATGAATACACAAACAATAAGGATTGCCCCTTTTATATTAAAAAAAAATCACAATTGTGAATCTGCCCATCTCCTTAGTTAATATAAAAATATGAGGATTTACTTACAGCTCATATAAATCTCGTCTGAACGCATAGCAAATTAACTTTTACTTACGGAGTTAATTTACTTATATGTAAATTTGCACACATGAGTAAATTTTCGTCGTATAAATGGGGTATAAGTAGGAAAATTACTGTAGGAATCATAGTGAACCTTATTTACATGTATTTATAAATGTATTTCTTTGTAGGAAAACTAATGCATTATGCATCAATCCTAGTGGTCGTAATTAATTGATAAATGCGTTTCTTTGTAGGAGAATTACTATGGGAATCCTAATGATCGTATTGAATTGATAAATGTGTCTCCTTGTAAGAGAACTAATTTAGGAACCCTGGTGTTCTTAATTAACTGATCATTGGCTTTCTTTGTAGGAGAACTACTGTAGGAACCCTGATGATCATTCCGGATCTTGGTGCTACACCACTGACCCTAACACGAGATGGGAGGACTGTGATGTACCAAGATGTTAAATACCTAGAAGACTTTTTCAACCCTAAAAGTACCCTTTGTAAAACTTTTATGGTTTATTTAGGCACCCTGTCCTTGACGGTAACATGAACAAGCGTAGATAAAAGACTATTGTTAATCCCTGTTGAGATTCTGCTAGGCTAGATATTTGGACTGACGCCGTCGCAGAATCCCTGGACGACTACTAATAATTCATGTCTGGAGATTAAGTCCCAACTTCGGTCGACTATAGCAAGAATTATTCACCTTGACCACACTGCCGTTCGCTTCAATTAAGTCATTTAGTTGTTTATTTGACTCTCTGTCACTATTATTTCTACATAGCTTATCGTTTAGGAAACAACGTACAAGAAATAAAAAGATAATAAAAACAACAGATGACTGAATCTTAATACTTGTTTCTTAAGATAAATGTACATTTATGATATAAGTTCTTACAACAAGAAATACATGGCGGGTTGCAGTGAATGTCCATCAAATCTCTTCTTTTTTCATCACTAGAAAACGAGGACCGTTCAAACATTTCGCGGACTCTGCTATTGTTTACTCTTCTAGGCGTCATATAGTTATGAAATTTCAAAGAAATATCAGGCACGTAGTATCCGGGGGGGCCAGGGGGGGGCCTGCCCCCCCCCCCACTTTTTCTCCCAACATTACCTTTACTATAGAAAGTGTCTATTGTAAAGGTGGTTGGCCCCCCCACTTGTTACCATAGTATATACATTGCAAGAAAATGTAGGAGAAAATTGGAAGTGAAAGGAAGTTTGCCTTGAAAAAAGTTGGCCACTACCCCCCCCCCCCACCACACACCCCCCCCCCCCCCCCCCCCCCCCCCCCCCCCCCCCCCCCCCCCCCCACGAAATAGGATTTTCGAGTTTGGGTAATTTGCAATTTTCTTTAAATTTTTTTTTTTTTTTTTTTTTTTTTTTGCTTGTCAACTTTTTCAGGTAAGAAAAAAAAATTTTTCTCAGGTTGGCCCCCCCACTTTCAAAAACGATGCTACGTGCCTGAATATGTATCTCAAAGATTCCAATACATTTTGGGCAAAATTTCTGTATTTCAAAAATATTTCTTCTAAAATTATCGCTGTGTTGATATCGCTAATGGAGAGGTAGGGAGCACGACAAAAAATTTGAAACAAAATTATTTAATAAACTTATTAATTTTCTATAATTCCCGATAATTTTCGACAATTTTCTCAAATTTATCTTTATATTGTTCTATTATTATGTTTTAGGATTTCTGAGGTAATATTTCAAGTTCTAGCAGAAATATAGTGATTTTTCTCCGATGCAATTAATGTCTGTGAAAATGACGTTTCCTGACGGAGCACCACCTTTTTGTTGAATTATGTGTAATGCTCGAGATATTGCCAACATAGAGCCAGAATATGTATTATAAAACATGTAGTAAACTAGGATATTCGTGACATTTGTCTACAAATAGCAAATTGGAATTTTAGACCGTTAGACCTCTATAAATAGGCTACATGTATACTGGAGGACAGGAAGTAGACTATCGACAAAAACTTGATTCGGACTGTAAAGAACGTAATTAATTAAGAGTGACCAATGTCACACTATATCTCATAAATACCTGTGCAGTTTTTGATTTTAAAATAAAAAAAGAATAATTTTTCCGGTTTTTTTTTTTTTTTTTTTTTTTTTTTTTTGCTTTATTGATTTTAAGCTTGACAAGAAATGGTGTATCTGGGTGGGTAGATAAGGTAAGTTAAAATGTCTGTACAGGAATTCTTGGGAAAAAGTTCACAGAGTAATCAAAGCTCAGGGTTTTTAGCTCACCTGAGCCAAAGGCTCAAGTGAGCTTTTCTGATCAAAAGAACTATATGCGGTATATTGCATATATTTGCCCCCACAAAAGTCAAATTTTGAAAACTTCCTGAAATGTGCTGAATTCAATAAATTGTATGAGAAATATAAATTAACAGAAAATATTATAGTGTCAAAGCAACTTGTATTCACAATTTTTGTTTTTATGCCGTCACAAACTAGTCCGATTTTATATCCTTTTTCAGAAAGAGGACAAAATGGACAAAATTTCACAATTTTAGCTTTAAAATTTATAGAGCGCAAGTTTGTTCAGGAACAATATTGACATATTTCATTGATATTATCATTCTACACATTATATCAAAATATTGATCCTGAACACACATGCGCTCGGTGACTTTTACTCAAAATATAGACGAAATATGTACATTTTTCTGTAAAATTCATAAAAAACTTAAATTAACGTCATGTTTGTGACTTCATTACGTACATATGGCGTCATTACTTATGAAAATATTCAGTGCTTTGAAGTCAGCATATACTCCCCTGTTTAAGAACTTAAGAGCCATTCTCTGTAATGATTTGAAATTTTATATAGGAGCTGTGGCACGCATAGTCTCAGAATTTCTCCAAACTCTCCATGATGAAAGTCATTGATACCCTAAACTGAAATCAGGCAAAAATTGGTTGCTATGTTTTATAGTTACCATGGCAACATGTCTTAAAGTTCGAAAAATGGCATTTTTTAACATGTTTAGAGCCCCATAGTTATCATTTGCGGCAAAGCAAACAATTGGAAATGACTGTTTCCAAAAGTTGAAGGTCAGATGTCTCAAATGCATGATAAACATGTTTGGTAAATCAACTATTACATACGTTACTATGGTAACAAAATATTCAAAAGTAAAAAACATATTCATTGAATTTTATAAAGTCATACACGTAAAAATAAAAAGCAATTATAGGATGAAATGTGACCAAATAATAGAAAAAAAGAGCCTTGAAACATATACCAAGAACAAAATATGATATTTCATTTTGGTTGGCAATGGTTGCCAAGGTTGTTATACCAAAGAGAGGCTTCAAAGGAACACTAAGTATGTTTAAATCTGATCCTATCTTTTAAAAAAAGCACATTTCCTCATAACTAATTATAAATTTTATAAGATGTTGGTGTGCTCTAAGTTTTTCCATTTGAAAAAATTCAGATAAGATTCTTTAAATAGAGCGTTGCTATGGAAATAAGCAGCAAATATATGCTTAAAAACCTGAAAAATATTTTCTTTCCTTGGATACGTACCCTTAAAAGTAGATTCCCAAAACTTTTATGATTGATATTTATTAACAGCTAACTTGACTTTTAATTTTGACTATCATCCAATCTCTAAGTGGATGCAAGTAGTTGGCACACAGGGTTTAATATTGATATAAAGTTCACAAAATCGAACATTTTCCCTTCTTGGTAACCATAGCAACAGTTTTGTTTTATTCATCAAATTTTATCAATATATGATATTCAAATTCAGTTCTAACAGATAAGTACTATTCAAGCTGAGTGGAAACACTGTAAAGTAGCAATTATACCTAATTTTTCTTATGGTTTTGGTGTTGCAAGGTCCTAAGGATGCATATTTGCCAGTCTTGAATTTTCATGTTTTTCCTCAAGACAGTAGCATTAACCCAATCTTAGTTACTGGTTTTGCATGGTTACACTGTGTTACCATGGCAACCATAAAAGTTATTTATAGAATAATATTGCTTATACTTATATACCGTATAACTGGTTTTTAATGCGGGTGCAAATTTTTGCGATTTGATCCTGAAATAGGTATATTTATTTTTTGCGATTTTAATTTTTGCGATTTCACTTTGACAATAAAGTCTATTTTTATTGAATTTTATTACTAGACATTTAAACAATAAAGTCTATATTTATTTTTTATTGAACAAACCAAAGCAATTTAAACTAGTGCTAATTGTAACGGGGACCGTTACAGATGTTCCCCAAACGCTCCCCAACTCCCTTTTGGTGCCTTTTTCCTGTAAGCTTCATTAAATGTGACAAAATCTATGCATTTGAGACTTTAACAATGCCAAGTTCATTCAAATTTTAGCATTGCACGCGTGCACATGTGAATGCATGTGCGTAATGACCATATCATCTTGTCTACACAATCTATATATTTTTTATATACTAAATATCAAAGTATTAATCCAAAAGTATAAAAAAAATACGCTCATTCAAGTGCATTTTTGATTTAACTCATTTCACGTGCACGCACGTGCATAAATGAGCATGGTGACCATACCTTCTTTAGGAGTCCATTACATCTATCTATGTTGTAAATCCCACCCCATTTGGTTGAAAACCAAGGGAGTTATAACTGTTTAAAGTTTCAGCCAATCAGATTGCAGTGCACGAACACGCATGTGCATGGTGACCATACCTTCTTGTAGAAATCCATTATATCTATCTATGTTCCAAACCCCACCCGATTTGGTTGAAAACCAAGGGAGTTATAGCTATTTAAAGTTTAAGCCAATCAGATTGCAGCGTACGTGCATGCACGTGTTTTCATGATAATTGCTATATACTATGTTGTAGAATATCCTAATACTTGGCTATGTTCAAAATTTCAAAGGATTTTGTCAAAAAACAAGAAAGATATTGAGACTTTAATTTCAGCCAATCAGAGCGAAGCGCACGTGCATGCGCGTGAGATCTTGCTATTTTGACCATGTCATATTGTCTATGGTACTAATGTATCCTTATATTATGAGTTTCAAAGCATTTCAGCAAAAATGTAAAAAATTACGCCTATATCAATTAAATCGGTCATTTCACGTGTTGCACATGCACGCTCTTGCAAGCACGTGCGCGCAAAATGACCTTGATTCCGCAAATCTACATAACATGTCTACTGACCCTAAAAAGGTTTTACCTACATCGGACGAACAGTTTACAAGATCACTCGCGGACAAAAAAGTACCCAGGAAGAAGAAGAAAAATAATAATAATAAAAAACAGAGTAAAAACTAGTGCTAATTGTAACGGGGACCGTTACAGATGTTCCCCAAACGCTCCCCAACTCCCTTTTGGTGCCATATTCCCAGTAAGCTTCATTAAATAAGACAAACTCTATGCATTTGAGACTTTAACAACGTTTACCCAGAAGTGTACCAAGTTCATTCAAATTTTAGCATTGCACGCGTGCGCATGTGAATGCATGTGCGTAATGACCATATTATCTTGTCTACACAATCTATATATT